TCACGAATATTTACAAGTGCTTAACTATAACATACCTTACGATCGAGCACCACATTTGACTAGGCAAGAACAAGTTTCACTTACGATCGAGGTGTAATACTTTAGAAACCAACCTGTAGCCACATTGATTCTCAATGGTTTTTCTGAAGTATTAAACGTAAAATCATTCTCCTCGACAAACGAAGCTGCTCTTTAAACTAATCTTTCTCATCACCTGCCTCTTGTCAACAGCCCCTTAGGATGGTATGACAGCAGATTTTAAATTACTTTGTGAACTGCAAACAAAACTGCAACTCAGATTCACTTCATTCGCTTTTCTTTTTTTTTTTTTCAAACTATCTTTCTTTTTACCAACTGATTACACAAACGATTGGACAGACAGGTCTATCTAATGCTAACAAAACAGAGTTCGTTTGACCAAAGGAGAAAACTTTATCTTCTGCTCTCCAATCTGAGCAACCACATTCGTCACCTAAAATGTCTTCAGCATTGAACATATCTGTCAAAGTTTCCTTGATCAATATTGTGCAATGTTCAAAGCCGGTTTACATATGTCAAGAACAGTATAATGGTATACAAGATAAGAGACAAAAGCTGGACACCAACGTTGCACGGCGTTTACACAGAGCTCTCTTGTGTGAACAGCCGGCAGTTTCAAGTTATCTTACACCTAAGAAGAAACAAAAAGCAAACTACGGTGATAAACATAAGGAAATATAGACGCATGCTCCTTGCATGCAACTTAACTTTGAAAACTTCATCATAATAAAAGCTTTAATAAACGGCCTCTTAGTCGGGGGAGGGGCGTACGTCAGTAGTCGGAATTTCAAAGACGGTCGTTCCGCATTTTGAGGAGTAGACCGTGTCCTTTTCAGTATTTAACACACGCATCTTTATGTCTTTTGTCGCTATCTTATTTATTCTTATGTCGCTGTTTCAAGGCCGCCTTGAAGCCTTGTTTATACGTATGACACAAGAACAAACACACGCACACAAAAACAAGAGCAGAAGAAATGTCTGCTCGTGCGATACGAATAAATGCAAGGTTGTGAACATAGGTAAGTAAATGTAATGTTAGCGCCAAAGAACTTGAAATATGAATCCTGCATGACTAGAAAAGAAATCGAAAGGGAAGTTTCTAAACAACGGTCACTTTATAGGTTGCTTGCGTTGTTGCGTCATAAGAGTAATTAGGAAGGACGCATCTGAGACGCATCTGTTTACACGTACATGTAGATTACTTTGTGCTTACCGTATTTACTCGAATAAGCGGCGCGGCGCTTGTTGATTGCCTTTTCTATTTCCCTTCCGTCGCTCATTGCAGTGCATCTTTTATTCAAGGGAGGTGCCTATGTTTATTTCTTATTCGCGAATGATGACAAGATACTGCATTCTTTCTCTTTCACTTCGTTTGTTGTTTTCTAAAACGATACGAGCAGCTAAACTGATGTTTCCAGCAGCCATAGGCGTACGGGCCGGGGGGGCGAGGAGGGCTGCAGCCCCCCCAAATTTTGGGCAACTCAGATTTTTTGGGCAGCAAGAGAAAATTTGGGCAAAGCCAGGTTTTAAAGACGTTCCGTTGTTTTTTTTATTGTTATTTTGAAGAGATAAATATTTTATATTTTATTCTGACAAAAATCCTGACGTCGGTCGGCGTAATAATCAAGTTACATTCTCTCGAGACATAGGTTGCCTAGCACGTGATGAGTTTCTGGTTATTAGGAAAGGGTATCACACGTTGATTTACATATTTATAGTTTTTTAAAGTGTTTAGTTAAGGTAAAACAACCACTGCAAAAACCGTGTACGATCAATCCTGCTCAACGTCGGATCCGAAAAGATCGTGATCAGTCAAAATAGATCAAAACGTTACAGTCAAGAAAACTTTTACAGGGACTGATCAAACAACGTGAAATCTTCATTGATAGCAATCTTGCTTGATAGCTTCTATTTGCAAAATTTTTAATTAATTAATTTATCAAGTTATTTAATCACTTAATCACTTTAATCACTTTCACCATAATTATGGTGCGGAACACACAACAGAGCGGGGCTCCAATTTAAGTATTCTTACAGATAACCCAGCTTAGGAGAGGTTGACCACACCAGCGGGGTCTGCATCCCCTACTCTTTTCGAATAGTGGTGTGGGTTCTTTTACGTCCCACAAGAACAAATCAGTTAAAGTGCTGTGAGACGGGACCTACGGTTTTCGTCCTTACCCGAGAAGACTACAATAGAAAGTCTATCCGTCAGACAACTTTACATTTCATAGGGCCTCTTGAATGTTAATGTACGACTGTGGAAAGTCGATTTTTCAAATTTCCAATCGATTGAACGCGAAATCCCAAAAAATTATTTCTCACCTGAATCTTATAATTTCTTTTTTGGGGAGAATCTTTCTTAGGACTTTTCCAGAATCCCTTGTAAGAATAATCACGGCGAAGACACTGAAAAAACTGCCTGGCTATTTTGATTTTTAAATCAGAAAAGCAACATTAGCCGATTAGCACCTTCTCGCCATAGGTTCTTTTATTTGGTCATTTAGTATGCATACGTTGGAAATAACAGATCTATATCTACCATGCGTGACGTGACAAAAAAAGAACTGATTTGAATAGTCATGCACGATGTCGTTGACCGTCGCTCCAGAAATGGATACATTAGAAGAAATTTAGTACTTAAATAAGATCGTCTCCTGAATTCGAAGCAGCTGAACTTTTGCCTTTGCCTTTGCGACGTTTACGCTAGCTGAACAACACTTTATTGGCCGAATGATAAGAAAGTTGCTCTCGTTGCTATTGTTTACAAGTCACAACGGGCGACAACATGAAGGTAAGAGAGCTATAATCTTGTCAGTTGTCTTGTCATGCATAGTAACGCAAAACGCCAAGAAAAATAAGTTTTCTCCTATTGTTGTTTCTACTCAGTGTCTATTGAGTGAAAATGACGCCCACAAGACCAAGAAGCCATAGTGTAGTTTTCGCAATTATACTTCATAGTAAGGAATAATTTCAAGCCTTTGTGGAACAGAAGCTATTTGAACATGCAATCAATTTTTTGCTTACTGAATGAAATGGTTTCAGAAATACGTCATTGGCGTGCACAACCTAGATCAGTAAGGCACTGGAAAGTTTTTTTATTTTGAGAAATAAAGCCTTTTCGGCGTTACTTAGCTATCGTGTTCAGCCATACTTCATTTGCATAAACAATCACATTTTCCCCACCAATGAGACAAACATAATGCAACAATTGAAATTGCGCGTGAATTTAATAGGTAACACAACGCTTAGTTTGGCTCTATTAAATTTTAAATCTTGACATTTAAACATTGTACCAATATCGTATCTCCATGGACTTTTACCATTAAAGTGATTTCGCTAATATTCAAAGCCCATTTTAACCCTTTCAAATATTATTTTTTTATTTTGTTGTAATACTATGGCAACGAAAAACGACAGCAGCTTATCTCTGGATGCGTTTTTTTGGGAGAATCCAAAAATGCAACCTCGTTCCCAGGGTTCTCTCCTACCCGCCCCCTGGAGCTCCAGGAGGCGGGTAGGAGAGAACCCTGGGAACGAGGTTGCCAAAAACGGATTTGTGATGTCAGATAATACGGATTTTTCACTACCAAAAAAAAGATCCGAAAAAGGATCGTTTACCATGACAACGGCATGTCCTCGTGGAAAATAAACAACAACAACAAACTGATCCTCACGGCGAAGACAAGAGGAAAAAGCAACATAAGCGACGATTGAATATACGAAATGCATATATTTCGGTTTGAAACACAAACGTTTCTCGAGTAGAATACACTCCTCACGATAGTAAAATTATAAGAATTTAAAACGGAAGCCGATGAATTGTTTTTTTTTTTTTTAATTACTTGGAAAATACAGCGGCGTGAGCAGACACTACATACGAACAAAAACCGTACAAGTACGGGTTTAAAAACAGTCAACCAATAATTTGAATAGATGACAAACATGGAATGATATGTCACTAATGGCTCAAAATTAATGAGGCGCCACCAACATAGGTTCAGTTTCAATGTCTTACATGTACGGCATAGATCTGTTGCGTACCATTTTTTCCTTCGAAAAACCGCTTGTCAAAAATACTTTTTTCAAACCCTTTCCCAAAAAACGCTCAGTTTGTGAATCTCAAAAATCCGGATTTGGATTTGATCCAAAGAATCCACCCTGAGTATGGATTTTATGGATTCATGATCCGTTTTTGGATTCGGAAATCCGGATCTGGATTTTCCCAAAAATACGCACCCTCAGTTTCAATATACGAACATATTACTTTTATTATTCACGATCATTCAAAATATTTCTCCGTTTCTGATTGGCTTAAGTACCACGGCTAATTTTTCATAACCAGCTACCGTTGACTAAATTTGGAAGAAGTTTACGATATATGGAAAATGACGTCAATAAAACACCAGAAAAATGGACGGGCAAACGAGAAGCTCTGGGGAGGAGGTTGGTTGAGTTGTTTTGGTAGATCATTAAAATATGGCGGAACAGTTTACACGTTTCGTGAAGAAGAAATAGCCGAACTACACGAACTACCTAAAAAAAATAGCACCAGAGGTCATGGACATATGTTTGTGAGTTCTAAAGGAAACCAACAAAAGTAGCTTCGACGCTACAATGTCAGGAACAGTGCATGGATCGTATCTCATATTACCTTTCGGGGTTATCGAGTGCACTTTTTTTTTCCGGCTACTTTCTCCGCTGTATAGTTCCTGAACTTGCCGCGAAATGAAGGCAAAGGAAGACGGGAAATTGACATCGATCGAGGTAACCATATTTTAGCTTGCTTTAAAACAATATCGAAATTATCAATTTTGAATATATAATAAAACAGTTATTGGATTCGGCTTTCGTGTGATAAGAAGAATTTTGGAGATCCCAATCCTCGATCTCTATAATTGTTCAGATCATCCTCAGCTAAATATGTACAGATATTTATTCCGTCACGATTTTTTTCTCATAAGGCCGATCTGAGACAGCAACGTAAGACGGCTCGGGTGTTCTTCAGTTCACCATTCGGTGGACTGGAGGAGGAACGTGAGGAGTTAACCAAGAAGTACTGGCCTCGGTTGTCGTCAATTTGCAAGAGAGCTGGGTACGAATTTGTTCCTGTTGACATGAGATGGGGTATAACCTCGGAGATGTCATCTAACGCTGCCACTATTGAGATTTGTCTTCGAGAAATGGATCGGTCTGACATGATTGTGGGCTTCTTTGGACAGGTAAAATGCACCAGATGAGATCTTACACTGACATAAATTTACGATGATCTTAGTGTGAACAAAAACAATGTTTAGCTTGTGATTCCAATAAGGGAACTTTGTCACATTGTAATTTGGCAAATAACAAAGATACATAAGCAACTAAGAAAACTTAAATTTCAGATCTCTTCAAAAGAACTTTATTAAAACGACTGAAATAATCAAATAGAGCGTTTTCACTCACGTGGCCAGCATCTATGCAAATTTATGAGGACAAAAAAATTCTACACACGAAAAGAGCCCAACTCCCAAAGGATTCGTTTGGAACACCAATATGGCCGCCGTGACGTCATGTGAAAACGCTATATAAAGATAAAAAAGGATTGTTTTTGCTTTGAAGTCCTGTCATTTGAAGTTAAATCGTCAAGACACATGACACATGATATCGTTTAGTCAAGAGATTTCATCAGAAAAGTACTTTTTATTGCAAGATTTGCAATTGTATGGGACCCTACAGTTTTAACACTGAACCTTTGTTGATAATTTTTGCGATAGGGCCCCTTTAACCCGAATCCATAATCATTTGAGGTAGAGTGTAAATCCACATACAACTTATAATTCTGTAAGTAATAACTAAAGACGGCCTTTTAAACCTATTACAATGAATAACAACCTATCTGTCTTTTTTCTGGGATTATTTGTCACGAATGGCCAGTTAGACCCGTTGTGCATCTCATGTCCAAAAATGCATGCAGTTACGAAAATGACGAATCTGCCCAAAAATTTGCCTAGGGTTTGGCGAGTCAGATGCGATGTCAAGAGGTGCCCCTTGTAAAGTAACATTATTCGCAGAAAATGGCGAATTTGGCGAAAATTTGCCACCGGTTTGACAAAAATTCAAATGGGTTATCAAGAGGTGCCTCTTGATGAATTTGCCCGAAATTCGCCGTTTTTATTGTGCGTGTATTTCTGGACAATCTTTTTGCATCTGACATAAAAAGTAAGAGCAGTACCGAGAGTAAAACTGAAGACAACAATAACAATAATATTTACTGACATTATTTTGTTCAGCGCTATGGGTGGCATGGATTCGATGCCCTTTTGCAAAAGAGTTTCGATGTTGCGGCAATGAAATATCCTTGGCTTAACGATTACCGAGAGAAAGCTGTGACTGAGCTGGAATTCCTACACGGACATCTTAGAGACCCTGGAAAGAGAGCTGCCTGTTTCTTCTTCCGCGATAAGGTAAAAGACAGTATTTTTAACTTCCTTTCAACCAGCCTTTATAACATTTCTCAGGGCCTGTTTACGCGATCTGAACGCAAAAATTCTGATTTCATGATAACCGAGCCAGCTCGGTTAGCTAGAATCCCGGTATTATGATGATGGGATCCCGACTAACCGGACTGGAAATTGGCCATGTAATCAGAATTTCCGGACCAACCCCGCGAATCAAACAACAGCAGGACAGCCGGTAATACACTGCTCATCCGCAATGCTTCCATCTTTCTGTAAACGTACTTGCTCTGCTCCGGATTGGGCCGTTTCATGTAATACCTGGATAAAAGACTAAGCACCTGCAGCGGGCACAGTTAGCCAGCCCGGCTCATCTTATCAGGCCATTGATGTGCTGAGAAGTAGTTTCTAGTCCATTAGGGATGCTTCTCATTAACATCTGGGCGTGGGCATTTCGTAATTTGATTACGTGAACAACTTAACACATCGTAAGCCTGTATTATCTTCGTATCATTTCTTTCTGTTTTTTTTCGTCGCCGGCACGAGTCATCCTTACTGAAAGACGTCCGTGTAATGAATACCATTGTTCATGCAGACCACATACTTTTAAAATTGACATTGCAGTCTTACGATGACACGAAACTGAAGTTTGCTGAACAGGCGGGGGATGAAAGACAGGCACGTAAATTCCGTTCTTCAACAGACGGTCCTAAAGCTGCGGAGTACTTGGCAGACTTGAAAGAAAGAGTTTACAAAACACAAGACAAGGTAGGCGCCAGGTCGAAACACTATTCTGGAGGGTTTGGGTCATGTCTCCGATAGATAGGTTGTTAATAGCGCAGGTCTAATGTAACCCCTAAGCCTGCAAAAATCCCTATAAAACATGGAACAGCCATTAAAGACAGGAAAAGCGTAGTGTCAAAAGATCCCCATCCCTTCATTCTTTAGCAACAGAATGAGGTCTGGGCACGATCTTTGCTGGTTGTATATAATCCAGTCTCGGTCTTATACCGTAATCTTCATG